TCTCTTAGTTCATAATCTCATGTCTAACTATAAATCCCCCCCCCCCCTCCACTGGATGGGTTATCATGATCGTTCGTTTAAAAATTTCTCCAAAAATAATAAATAGTATAACATTATTTGTAAGATAAAATAAACAGAAATAAACAATGTCAAGTGCAAAAAATGTCAAAAAGATTGAAATTGTGTTTGAAAAAATATGAGTTTGATTTTTGCTTGATTTTGCTAAAAGAATCTAAAAACTACCGGCAATCAAAAATATTTCGAGATTAGATTATTTATCCATTTTTTCTTTTTCTGGAACTCGAAAAACCTAAACGTTAATTACTAATTAATTAATTGTCTTTGCCAACCCAAAATTGAACTAATTGTTTCTTTAAGTATTATTCGTGATATTTAGAAAGTTGAGGGGTCAGTTTCGAAACGGCATTAAACTTGGTAGCAACTAGTCGGAGAATCTTTTGTTTTCTTTTAAAAAGGTAAAAAAACGTGATGGGGTGCGAAGAGAGAAAAGGAATCCGTTAAATCATCACTATCAAACTAAAACGACGACGCATTGTGTCGTATCAACCTCTTCTTCACCAATAAAAACAGAGCCGTATAGAAAAAAATCGATATCTCTTATCAAAAACCTCCACCAAATTTTAGAACAGAGGAAAAAAGAGAGATACTTCGAGAATTCTGTTCTTCAAAAATGGTTAGTATTTACGTTAAAGAGTGAATACTCTCTGGTCTATGTCTCTTTCAAGATCACATCTAAAAATATTTCAATTTGTTCTTATCGTAATGAATATTGGGTTTTTTGACATGCAGGCAAGTGAATCAGAAAACATCAAGTACGAAGAGGTACGTATATGTGTATCTCAAAAGTATTAAGATCACTACATAGATAGAGAAATCTTGTTTTTTTATTGATGATTATGTATATCTTTATGTATATGCAGAGTTTTATAAAGAATACTCGAGGGATGAAACTGTTCACGTGTAGATGGGTACCAGCAAATCAAGAACCAACGGCTTTAGTCTTCATTTGTCATGGATATGCAATGGAATGTAGCATCACCATGAACAGTTGAGATCAACCCATTTCATTATTTTTATGTATATATATATCAATGATTGAAATTTTGTTTATGAATGTTTGAGATGAATTATGAATGGATTAGGTACGGCGAGGAGGCTTGTGAAGGCAGGATTTGGTGTGTATGGAATTGATTATGAAGGACATGGCAAATCTGATGGGCTTAGTGCTTATGTTCGAAATTTTGACCATCTCGTTGATGACGTCTCTACTCATTACACAACTATTTGTGGTAATACTGACTTTTTATTTTTTGGTGAAAATGTAATTTTATATTGAATTTTGGATACATATGTCATGCTTTTAATGTTGTGACACGGAACTTAAGAGTTGAACCATTCACAAGTTTTGGTCAAATAGAATACTTTTTCAAAGGATTAATAACCTTTTTGTCAATTTGCAAATTTGAATGATTTGTTTGTCTCTCTTTATCAAATAACAATATGATTTTGATGTTTTTTTTGTGTGGTTGGAATAATTTAGAGAGAGAAGAGAATAAAGAGAAGATGAGGTATTTGTTAGGAGAATCAATGGGAGGAGCAGTTCTTTTGATGTTACACAGAAARAARCCTGAGTTTTGGGATGGGGCMGTCTTGGTTGCTCCAATGTGTAAGGTATTATATGCACTCTCTCATGCATATATCTTTCTCTTTTTTCTAAACCAAATTGTAGCATTATTTCGTATTCAAAATTGGTTTTGTTGAAGGGTAAATTTAGAATCGTTGAAACTACTTGAATAATTAGAACTCCAAACCTAGAAACTTTAACGTTGTACATCTTCTATTTTACTTAAGTAGCTTGGTTAGTAAAATTTCTAAAATATACTAAGATAATTTGCATTTTTATTGTTTTTTGGATATATTCACATATAAAAGACGTTAGCCAGCCTGTAAATTATATTAGAAGAGATTTTTTAACACATAAAAGTTTAGTTAAAATAGTATTGTTTTGGTGTGATGCAACTTTGTGCACACCGAATCCAAAAGAAACGAACATACATTCAAACAATAAACTTTTGATTGTCAGCTTTCAAATGGGTCATGATGATGTGAAATATCCTGAATTATTACTAGTATAGATAAAAAAAGTTAGGTACCTTATTGATGAAATTCAAACTATTGTTTCTTTTAGTTTATTGAAATAGAAATAATTCTTTCTTTTTTTGTGTCGGCAGAAATATAAATAATTCTATGTGTGTGGAATTCTTTCAAAGCATGCTTATAATAATGAAATAAAAATCTGTATTAAAAAAACATGAAGCTTAGTCAAATGTACCTTGTTTAATTATTAAAGCGCTCCCACTAAGTTTCTGTATGCAAACCTCAACGCAAACAAATTTTTAATTGACATGCATGTGTGGCGTGGCTAATTATTTTATTTTATTTTATATATATTACAGATCGCTGAAGAAATGAAACCAAACCCTTTGCTTATTTCGATATTTTCAAAAGTTGTCGAAGTTATACCCACTTGGAAAATTATCCCTGGCCAAGATATTATTGAAACTGCTTTTAAGCAACCCGAGATCAGGAAACAGGTAATGTAATACCATATTTGAAATTAAGAGTTTTGTACTCAATTAAACCTATAAGTACTAATGACATTATGAAATCTGTAAAGGTTAGAGAAAACCCTTACTGCTACAAAGGACGTCCACGTTTGAAGACTGGTTATGAGCTCTTGATGATTAGCACCGATCTGGAGAAGAGACTTAATGAGGTATTTTATTTATACATTTTACCAATCAAGAAATATTTAAGATGTTATAGCTCGGGAAATATTGGTTAGTTATATATATGATTAATTTCACGTAATTTGATAAATAGGTTTCATTACCATTCATTGTTTTGCACGGGGAAGACTATAAACTGACAGACAAAGCGGTGAGTCGACAACTGTACGAGGAAGCATCGAGTTCGGACAAGACTTTTAAGCTTTATCCAGGGATGTGGCATGGATTAATCTATGGAGAGACACCAGAGAACATTGAGATTGTTTTTTCTGACATCATTGGTTGGTTGGTTAAGAGATCTTCTGGTGGAAATGAAAGCTTTGAGTCCGAGCTTAAACGTAAAAATGATGGATTAAAAGGCTAGTTAATTAGTCGCTATGTTATCAGTATCATTAACGCACAAAGCACACTCTAAATATGTTTTTCGTTTTGTCCTTAATACTTGTTGTGAGCCTGTTACTTATAAGTTTGATAAATGTGATAAATGTACGTAGTTTGTGATATCAGAGACATACTTGTAAGCACAGTGCTTTTTATCAACCATACAAAGTGTAATATAGTGGAAAACTAGGTTAAATTTATAGATTTAAACTAAAAACTTCCAAGTGTAATATATAGCGCTTTTATCAACAACAACAAAAAGTGTAACATAGTGGGAAAACTAGGTTAAATGTTTAGATTTAAATTGAAAACCTTGAAACTCTGATTTGGTTATTTAAGCGTCCGATTTCTTTATGAACAAAAAAAAATTAACAATGGCATTGCTAGCTATTTCGCATTTTGCACCAACTGATTCATATAGCGAAATAGCAATCATTCGTTACTTTAGGATTTCTCCAAACATTTGTTGCATTTGTTAAAGAAGAGTAAGTAATTGTTGACTGAAAAAAAAATGACCAAGTAATTTATTTATACGAAAGATGACAAATTTAAGCAGAGTTGTTTCTAAGTTGCAACATATAACGAATAATAAGTTGCAAATCATTAGCTACCTAAAACTGAGGTTCAGTTGAATCTCAAACTCAACCAAAGCAAATCAACAACTCCATTCTCAATCACATTAACCAAATTCTCCAATGCTTCTTTATATAAACCCACATAAGACCACATCCATCAATAAACATCAAAACATTCAGAC